CCGACAAAAAAACATCCTGAAAACCTGGGGGAGTTCGCGCCCGCGTCGAAACAGATCTTGCAATTCTCCCAAGGAGCGTTGAACGTGCTGGAGGGTGTTTAGGAAATGCCGCCGCTGCCGCTGGGCAGCAACTGGGCCCCTGGACTCATGCGCTCCCGAGAGGAAGCTGACGGTCCGAGAAAGCCTCCTGCATGGCGCGAGCTCTGGGCCCCCAACAGCGGGGCGAAAATCTTTGTCCAGGGCCGAAGCCAGGCCGGCCTAGGCCCGCGCCCCCTGGGGCCCCGACCAGGGGGGTCCTTTCGAAGAGTGCGAGATCGTTCCCATTCGGCGGCGTCAGCCCGTGTGATATACTATATCGAAAACTGCCTCTGGGTCGCCTCGCCATGGGCGCGTCTGGGCATGGGCTCCAGGCCCCGACGAGTGCAATCTCAAACAAAAGTGTGATTCTCAGGCTGCGGAGCAGGTCCTGTGGGATGCTCCGCGGGCAACTCGGGTGGGGGCGATGAGGCCTTGAGCTCGGCAGCTGCGGGTGGCGGAGGATGCGCGCGGGCGTGCGCGTCTTTATGTCGCTGTCGAGGATTGGGGCGACCTCCTGAGTGCAGCGACTTAACCGGCCGAGAAAATGAAAGAGTCGATGACCCTGAGTCGCCCCGTGCTAGTGCAGATGCCTATATCAGGGTAAACCACATTGGTCTTGGGGGAACTGGGAGCCCCAGAAGACATCGTAAATTCTGGCGTCATGTTGAAATCTTCGCCAGCGCAATTGGGCCCGTCGTCGGTGGAGTGGTTGGCCGAGATGGCCACCGGGATATCGAGGTTCCTGTCCGCGAGGCCCTCGCTGTGATGTTGGTGCGCGAAGGTGACGAGGACAGGGGGGGGGCCTGGGGCCGTGGCGATGCAACTGGTCGCCCTGTTGGGCGACGACACAATGCCAAAATCAGGATTGCGGCAACCCAGAAGCTGTCGGACCGAAATTGCCACCCCTCCAGAGGTTCCCCCTCCTTCAATCCTGGATGCGAGAGCGAAGCGAGCCACCCGTCCCCTGTTCAGAGGAGGAGGAGGAGAAGGAGGAGGCGCAGGAGGAGGAGGAGGAGGAGGGACCAGTGTAAACCCAAGAGTCATCAACGATGTTGAAATAAACCCTACCACCAAGCTCCCTCTTTACAGGCCCCTACAACGGTTCATTTCCACTGAGGGAACTGCCTCGTTGGAAGACAGCCGTTTGAGGACCCTGAAGAATTCCAAAACATTGTTCTCGGGATTCAAGCGCCACCGTTCAACTTGACTGTTGCGTCTTGACGACCCTGAATCGTGCCAGAACGCCATTCGTTGGACTTCAACACCTCGACCCAACATAACTCTTGCAGCCTCATAAATCCAGAACCCTTCCGAAACGCCGCTTCTGGTGCGTCGATCATGGGCATCCATGAAACTCTTGCAGATGTTAAAAAAAAAAACGAGTGTGCGCGGCGCTCTGGCGAGAACCACATGTTGACAAACAAAACGCCGCCCTCAATCCGTGCACCTCTCGCAGATTTTGGAAGCCAATGCACGCGGCGCTTAAGCGAGAACCGCATTTTGAAAACCATTCGCCCTTAATCCGTGAAGCTCTTGCAGATTAAAAACGAGTGTGCGCGGCGCTAAAGCGAGAGCCACATTTTGAAAACGACCCGCCCTCCATCCGTGAAGCTGTTGTCAATTGTTAAGCTTTCAGGTCATAACTGGTGAGGATGTCTCAAGCGAAAAGCCCGGCCCGCCCTAAAAACTGGTCTCGGGGTGCGACAGGGATTCATAAGGAGCAGGAATGGAGGAGCAAAAGAAAGAGGAGGAGGAGGAGGAGAAGATGAAAAAGAAGAACATGATCAATTATCAAAGAGAGAGGATGGTCCGAAGGATGGTTCGGAGAAGGAGGAGGAGGATGAGGAGGAAGAGGAGGAGGAGGAGCAGGAGGAGGAGGAGGAAGAATAGGAGGATGAGGATGAGGATGAGGATGAGGATGATGATGATGATGATGATGAGGAGGAGGAGGAGGAGGAGGAGGAGGAGGAGGGGGAGGAGAAGGAGGAGGAGGAGGAGGATGGGGGGGATCAGTAAGAGGAGCAGGAGGAGGCCGAGACGAACGTGCTGGCGGAGCCAGGTATCGCTTCACGAGCCCGCATCAGGCGGAGTGCACATGCGGCCCGATCGCAGTACTGCCAAAACTGCTGACTTCAGCTACTGTGGGGATATGGGGCTCGGGGAACACCTTGAATCATTACAAGTAGTAGATGCAAAAGGCAACCTCCTCAACGATTTCGACAGGCGGAGCGAGGACACCTCACCGACCGAGACGACACATTGGGGCGAAGTCGCGACAGAGAAGAGGGGACTTACGAGGTGGAGGAGTAGGGGGCCGAAGAGGAATGTTAGGAGGAGCAGGAGCAGGAGGAGGATGCTGAGGAGGAGGTCGATTCAGAATCGAGCGAGCCGAGGTTCGCAAGGAACGCAGAGGGCAGCACCTGTGAGGCGGGGCTTGGCTTGAGGGTTGGCTTGTTTCCCCGAGACAAGCCCGCTGTTCGCGTGGGGGCGAGGAGGATAAGGAGGAAGAAGAGGAGGAAGAGGAGGAGGAGGAGGAGGAGGAAGAGGAGGAAAAACATGAGGATGATGATGGGGAGGAGCGAACCTGGAGGGCCGCTCGTGCAACATTGCGCGCGTGTTCGGATCTGCACAGCAGCCGAACACGTGTCGGCCCACTCCGCTGGCCGAAGCTTGTTGTACATGTGAGGTGCGAGCAGTATCTGGCGGGGAGCTCGCAAGCGTCTGGGAGCAGGAGGAGGAGGGGAAGGAGGAGGAAGGGGGGGAGGAGGGGGAAGAATAGGCTGAGGACCGCAAGTGGAAGGGAAGACGTCAGCAGCCATGCGAGGGCAGCGCCCGGCTGCGCTCGTCGAGGTGTCGCTGGGTCGTCCCGTCGGGGGCGCCGGCAGAGGCCTCTCGGGGCCTGCTGGGGCCCTCTGCGGGCACCCGTGGGCTCTCTTAAGGGGCTCTTGCAGGGCCCTCGCGGGGCCTCGCGCGGCGGGAGGCCATCTACGGTGCCTTGGGCCGTCGTGGGACCGTCTTCGGGCTCTCTCGGTGGCCGTCTCGGGGGCGCCCTGGGCCGTCTTGGGGGCGGCTGTGGGCCTCTTGCGAGCCTTTGGGGGCCTACACCATCTCGGGCTGGAGCCGAACATGTATGGGCACTCGTGGCTTAGGATGTGTCATTTCCTGCCTGTCAGGGGCCCTGTCCAGAGCCATCTTGGGGCCTTTGGGGACACGTTTGCACCATCTTGGCTCGTTTTTGGGCCGTCTTGGGGGCTTTGTGGCTGTCGGAAGCTCTTTTTGAGGGAAACCGTCTTGCGCGTTCCGGCCGTCTCCTTGGCTCAACCAGGGAGGGGGTGATGCCCGGGGGCCAGGGGACCCCTCCTACCCTGGAGGAGCTTATTGCCAATTCACGTGGAAGAACCTGATCGAACAAGAGCAGGAAGCGCCGATGTTGTCCATTGGGCTCGAAATCATGATGGCGACGACAAAGCGGCGGATGGCGAGGATGACAGCGTGGATGACGGGGAGGGCAACGACGGAAGCAAGAGGACAACGAGTAAGAAGACGACCGCCAGGACGAGGAGGAAGAGACGGAGGAGGACGAGTCCGAGGAGGAACGATGAGAGGAGGACGAGGAGGAGGAAGAGGAGGAGGAGGAGGAGGAGGGAGAACGAGAAGAAGGACGACGACGATGCAGGAGGACGGTAAGGAACCCGAGGAAAAGGACGTCGAAGAAAAGGGGGAGTCCTCGAGATCTTTAAAGTTGCCCTGGCGGCTGTTGGGGCCACCTGGGGCTACCTTCGGGCATCCTGGGGGCCTTTTGGGGGCCTGCCCGGGTCCTCTTGGAGTCTACTGGGGTCTTCTTGGGCAGTGTGAGCGCGTCACAGGAAGCCAGGACAACCACCACCATCACCATCACCATCATTATCACCATCACCATCACCACCATCATCATCACCATCATCATCATCATCATCATCATCACCATCACCATCACCGTCACCATCACCATCACCATCACCATAATCGCCATCGCCATCGCCATCGCCATCGCCATCGCGATCACGATCACCATCACCATCACCATCACCATCACCATCACCATCACCACCATCACCATCACCATCATCATCATCATCATCACCATCAACATCAACATCAACATCATCATCATCACCATCACCGTCACCATGACCATCACCATCACCATCATCGCCAGCACCATCGCCATCGCCATCGCCATCGCCATCATCATCATCATCATCATCATCACCATCACCATCACAATCACCATCACCACCACCACCACCATCATCATCATCATCATCATCATCATCATCATCATCATCATCATCATCATCATCAACATCAACATCAACATCAACATCAACATCATCATAATCACCATCACCATCACCATCACCCCCGTAATCCTCAACATTTCTCTCCCAAGCCCAGGGAAACGAAATGTGACCCGTGTCCGTGTCCCCTCGAACAATCGCCACCCAGAATGCTGGGCTGGTACGGTGGCGGGACTTTCCGTATACATCTTGATGTATAGTCAAATCGGCGGACTTGTTGTCCTTGTCAACATCGTCACCTACACAATCAACATCATCATCACCACCATCATCATCATCACCATCCTCCTCCTCCTCCTCCTCCTCCTCCTTCTTACATCATCACCATCCTCCTCCTCCTTTCAATTCCAGCCACTGTCAATGTGTTATCATTATCATTGTTAGTATTACTGTCATCGTCATCGTCATCGTCATCATCATCACCGTCATCGTCTTCGTCATCACCATAACCATCACCATCATCACCATCGTCTGGGGAAGGAATAGGAGGAGAACGAGGAGGATGCCCCTGTGCGCCGATTGGTCTCTCTCCCGCAGCAAGCCAAACGAGGCGAGAGAGGGGGAGGGCCACACCAAGCTCGCCTCCCCCTCGGACGCGATCTGCTCGTTGCGGTGCCGCAGCAGCCTCTGCAGGCCCTCGACTTGCGAGGTCAAGGACTCGACCTGCGATGCCAAGGCCGAGACCTGCTCGTCGCGCTGCTGCAGAGCCTCGAAGGCTCAGGAACGGGGGGGGCTGGGTCGCCCTCTGGAGCCTCGCGGCCCAGCCGGCAGATGGGCTTGGACAAATGAAAAGGAAGAGGAGGAGGAGGAGGATAACGGAAAGAGGAGGAGGAGGAGGAGGTGGAAGGAAGAGGAGGAGGAGGAAGAGGAGGAGCACGAGAGGAGGAGGAGGAAGAAGAGGAGGAGGTGGAGGAGGAAGAGGATGAGGAGGAGGAAGAGGATGAGGAGGAGGAAGAGGAGGAGGAGGAAGAGGAAGAGAGGAGGAGGAGAACGGACAGAGGAGGAGAAGGAGGTGGAAGAGGAGGAGGAGGAGGAGGAGGAGGAGCACGACATGGATGATACGTTCTTGTTGTTGTTGCTGCTGCTGTTGCTGCTGCTGTTGTTGTAGTTATTGTTGTTGTGACTGTTGCTATTGTTGTTGAGTTCTGATTCGAAAGAATGATTATTGTTGTTCCCCCCCTTCCGGTGGCCACTCTATTGTTCAACTAAAAGAGCTCCTCCTGCTGGGGCTTGCGCTCTGCATTTAACAAAAACAACAGCAGCTCCCGCCTGATTCTTCCTCACAATGTATTCCCAAATCGCGCTCTCGCGCAGAAATTCCGCACAAGTTATGCAGGAATCGCGCTCTCGCGTGGGATTTCCTGGCAGCAATTTATTCAGGCGCCGCGCCCTCGACACTCAGGAATCACGCTCTCGCTGTGGACTTCTCACGATTTACTTGGGACTCGCACTATCGCTCGAGACTTCCTCGCGACTCATGCAGAGCGCACACTTCAACAACTCGTCAACCCACCTACTCGACCTGGCCGCCTGGGCCCGCCTTCCCGACCCGCCTGTTAGGGTCTACCCGCCCGATCTGCCCATCTGGTTCTGCCACGTGCTTTCTGCTTCTAGCCGCCCTCCTGCTACCCTCTCTCGTGCTCCATCCGCCTCCCTCCCCCTTGTCGCTTCCTTCCATCCGTCCGTTCCTCCCCTGCCTTCGCGGCTGAACGAAATACACGTTGCAGGTAAGAAAAAACTACTCCCAAGGGGGTACGCTCGAAGATAAAGAAGGCGGGTATCGAGGATTTGCGATGTACGTGTTGAATGGGACGCGGGCAGATAAAAGGGAACACTTTCAAACTGATTGTTGTTATTGTTGCTGCCACGGTTGTGGTTACTATTGCTGTTGCTCTTGCTTTTGCTGTTGTTGTAATTGTCGTTGTTGTTGTTCTTGTTGTGGTTGTGGTTGTCGTGGTTGTTGTTGTTGTTGTTGTAGTTGTTGCCGTTATTGCTGTGTTTGGGGCGGAAGGGGTGGGAGCGGACAACAAAGCTCACCCGTGGGGCGAAGGAACGGACAACTGTGAGCGCTGCGCTGCCAACAGCCATACCACCGCGCCTGGTAGGATAACGAGGACGTGCAGCAGAAAGGTCGACGGACCGACACTGCAAGGCAGGGTGTCGGCAACCCCACCAGGTGCTCGCTGCGCTGCGCTAGCTGCGCTAGCTGGCCCTCTGCGCGCCGCCACATGGCACGTCGTTGGTATCAGATCGACTGCGCTCGGCCATCATCGCCGTTTGCCAGAAACAGCATGCGCGTCGTCGGTAGGCTATTTTCACAGGGGCAGCCCGACACCCAACGTGAACGACGGCGGGACCGTAGACGACGGGACGGGTATCCAACAGGCGTCACATGCCAATGGCCCCCAACCAATGCAAGACTGCGGGGAGGCGCAACCAGAGGCGGGCGGGGAACGTACAACATCCACGACAGGCCCGCGCTTCGCAGGAAGAAGGGAATGCAGGCGCCCGGAGTTATCACCACTTTGGCGAGAAAACCAAACATGCGCAACTTCGCAACGAAATTATTGCGACCCGATTTCGGTTTACGCTGGCCTAGCTCGAAATAGTGACCGGGTCGCTCAGCTGTGCGGCAAAAGGGGCAACACCTTCACTAAGATGAGCCAGAAGCCGTGCGATCCCCAAATCAGAATGGACAATATCGGTCAATCTGGTCTGGAAGGACGGGCCCGATGACAGCTCGATGATCATGTGCAGGACAGTCTCCGATGCGTCTGGATCTGAGATTGCAGTGGTCATCCGCCGAAAATGTAAGCTTCCAGCACGGGATCGACTACAGAATTGGTTTACATCAGACTTGGTTTTTCCTTAGAATCTACGGGAGTTGCGCAGGCTGCTCCGTCAATCTATTAAGCATTCTGCGTAGTTGTCGTGGGTTCGACGGAAGAATCAAATTCTGGGGTAAATCAATGTTGTGGTCGATCCCGTATTCGAAATTTGAAAACCCACGGCCGCACACGCGCCAACGACAGAAGCATTCAACGAAGAAAGCATGCAGACACCAACTGTTGCAACCTTGGAGGGCATCTTTGGCACCGCGGCCAGGGCAGGCCGTCCTGCCGCTACTACCGTGTTGGCGGACTTGTTCCAAAGTGGCGGCGTAGTGCCCCACGCCTGCTGCAACACTGGGATTTCCGCAAGTGGGCGTTTTTGTTTATTCGGCGTTTCGACATTGGGCGGAAGGGGGGGGGGTCTGGCTCCAGACCTCTGCTTAACGCGACTGTTTGCATCAGTACGTCCCCTGGGGGAGACTCCACCTGCTTGAGACAGGTGCCAACAGCCAGGATCCAAGAACACTCCCAAGAGGTCCCTAAGAGGTAAACGCATTGATGTTCCGAAGGTTTTAGAATGATTCCCCACATGCTTCGTGGAATTTTGGTTTTCTTCTCTGCCGCGTCTCACCCGCGTTCCTTCTCCTCCTTCTGCATCTGCGTCTCGCGCCCACATGCCCACATACACATGCGACACACGCTCACATACAGCCGCACACGGAGCGGAGAAGGAGTTACAAGCATGACCACATGACACCCGCCAGTAGACGAACACCATGCAACACTCGCACACACACACCATACAACGCTAGTGCACGCCTGGCGTGTTCACGGCATCATGCACCCACGACGTATGCGCTACATAATGGACACACCCATGGTACACACGTCCACATACAGCCTGACACACATTTCGCAGCGTGCCTCTTCTCGATGCTACAAGGGGGTGCGCAGGGGGTGCGGTCGCTGTTTCGGGCTCGCAAAGCGTGGCAAGCGTGACACTTCCTCGATGCTACAATGGGGGTGCGCAGGGGGTGCGGTCGCTATGCGTTTCGGGCTCGCAACACGTGGCAAGCGTGACACTTCCTCGATGCTGCAATGGGGGTGCGCAGGGGGTGCGGTCGCTATGCGTTTCGGGCTCGCAACACGTGGCAGGCGTGACACTTCCTCGACGCCACAAAGGGGTGCGCTGGGGGTGCGGTCGCTATCCGTTGCGGCCTTGCAAGGCGTGGCAAGCGTGCCTTCTCGACGCCACAAGGGGTGCGCTGGGGGTGCGGTCGCTATCCGTTTCGGCATAGCAAAGCGTGGCAGGCGTGGCACTTCCTCGACGCCAGAGGGGGTGCGCTGGGGGTGCGGTCGCTGTGCGTTTCGGGCTCGCAACGTGTGGCAAGCGCGGCACTTTCGCGATGCCACAAAGAGTGCGCCGGGGGTGCGGTCACTTTCCGTTTCGGCTTCGCAAGGCGTGGCAAGCGTGGCACTTTTTCGACGCCACAAGGTGTGCGCTGGGGGTGCGGTCGCTATGCGTTTCGGCTCCTCGACGCCACAGGGGGTGCCCTGGGGTTGCGGTCGATATCTGTTTCGGCTTCGCAAAGCGTGGCGGGCGTGGCACTTTCTCGACGCCACAAGGGGTGCGCAGGGGGTGCGGTCGCTATCCGTTTCGGCCTCGCAAAACATGGCAGGCGTGATATTTCCTTGAAGCCACAAGGGGTGCGCTGGGGGAGCGGTCGCTACCGTTTCAGGCTCGCAATGTGTGGCAGGCGTGGCATTTTCTCGATGCCACAGGGGGTGCGCTGGGGGTACGGTCGCTATGCGTTTCGGCTTCGCGAAGCGTGACAGGCGTGGCACTTTCTCGACGCCACAGTGGGTGCGCCGCTGAGGGTGCGGTCGCTATCCGTTTCGGGCTCGCAAAGCGTGGCAGGCGTAACACTTCCTCGACGCCGCAGGGGGTGCGCTGGTGTGGCAAGAGTTGCACTTCCTCGACGCCACGGGGGGTGGTCGCTATCCGTTTCGGGCTCGGAAAATATGGCGGGCGCGGCGCTACCTTGACGTCGGGCGCTTCCTCGAAGCCGGCGCAACCGCCGTCGACCATGCTGTAATCACCTTGGCTCAAGCCAGCTCGGCACGCTTGCGCTTTCACGCATGCGTGCGCGTGATCCCATTTGAAGGCAGCAACCGCCTTGGCCTGCGCGTGGCAGTGATGCCGCCCAAAGTTGCTATGGGCGCCCTGCCGCCCCCGTGTTTGGCGTTGAGGAACGCAATGCGGCGAGCTCAGCGTGGGGAACTCGCGCAGATGCGCAAACGGATTGGTGTGGTCCGCATTTAATACGTACCGCCGCCAGCTTCACATTTAGTGGCCCGATACGCTCTGCGCGAAGTACTCCGACCTGAACGACGACGGCAAGAGGCAGAGCTTGGTGGCATACCTGCGGAACCCTGCGTCGGGCGGGTTTCCCCCGGAGGCTCTCTCAGACCAGCCGCAGGAGAGTTGGGAACACGACTGCGGACCGCCAGCGGAAGTTCGGCGAGTGCGCGAGGCCGGCAGCGCATGCGCTGACCCCGGCCGCCGAGCGGGCCCGGGGGCCGCCGAGCATTCTTCTTTCTCTCAGATCTGATCGGAAGATTTCCGCCGAAGGTCGCGTTCCATAGCGTTCGTTGCCTCGTGGGCGCCGCAGATCGGTTTCCATGTGTATTGAACAAAAACTTATCTTATCTCCTCTCCACTCTCCTCCCTCCTCTCCGCTTGACTGGCGTCACCAAGGGTATCGGCGGGGCAACGGCCACCAACATCATTCTCACATGCTTCGCTGCAGCTATCATCACTCCAATAAAGTATGTGGGGTTCCTCGGTAGCGTAATTTTGGTGCTCTCGCCTTTTCG